ACAACGACCACGACAACGACAACGACAACGACAACAACGACAACGACAACAACGACAACGACAACCACGACAACGACAACAACGACAACAACGACAACAACGACAACAACGACAACACCGACAACACCGACAACACCGACGCCGACACCGACACCGACACTGACACCCCCACCACCACCACCACCAACAACAACCACCACCACCACCACCACCACCACCACCACGACCACGACCACGACCACGACCACGACCACGACCACGACCACGACCACGACGACCACCACCACCACCACACTGCTGCTGCTGCTGCTGCTGCTACTACTACTACTACTACGACGACGACGGCTGCTGCTACTACTACTACCACTACTACGACGACGACGACGACTACTACTTCTACTTCTTCTACTGCAGGTTACCGTAGAGATCAGCGACTGAACAGTCCACTTTTGGGTAAACTGTTGGTGGTCTAAAACGATACCCCAAACGATACCCTAACGATACCCAACATTTTCTTTAGGAGGCTGTTTTTGGGACCATAACACCACGCACACACGCAACACACGTCTGCTGATGAGCCCCATACCCCACGCACAAACCGCCCTTCACCCTCTCAAAGCATCATACGTCGGCTCCGCTTGGAGCGGCTGATTCATCTATTGCTTGCATCGTATGAATCCAAGAGTGGCACCGGTACTTTATTTAGTCTAACATGAGTCAAACATACAGTCACGTGCCCAAAGTCTTGTAAAACGATAGGGGAAACCCAAAAACGATACCCCTTGTCAAGGGCCCGCTTCTATAGAATAATATTGATACTGCCTCGGATGAAGCATCAGGCTACAGTACTTGTGTGGCGTAGATCACAGCTCCAAGTCCTCTGCAGCGACATTCAGGAATCCATGCCTCAGAAGCCTCTCGGGCCACTCGACATCCTGAAATCTTCGGGTCTTGCCCCAATCGAGACAGTCTCTTCGGATGCAGGAAGGCGACAAGATCAATGTCAAGGTGGGCTTTGCTTGACTTGCGGTTCTCAGTCACTATCGTAACGATGTAGGTGGAGCTCACCTTCAGGTGGCCAATGTGGATGTGGTGAAGGAGCAGATCGCAGTCACCACACGACAACTGGCGTCCTTTGCCCAGAAACCTCCAGCTAAATCCAGACCGACCCCACCGAATGTAAACAGGCTCCTTCTAGCAGTGCAACCTGTTAGAAAGGTATAACATGATGTATGTATGTATGTATGTATGTATGTACGTATGTATGTATGTATGTATGTCTGTAGGTATGTATGTATGTAGGTATGTATGTATGTAGGTATGTACGTACGTACGTACGTATGTATGTATGTATGTATGTATGTGCGCAATACCTACACACACGCGCACAAACACATAAATGAATATGTGCATGCATCCATATGCATTCGTATGGTCAGCTCCCTCACGCTGTGGCACGCCGCCTCCCCACACCCTCAGTGTCACATTCCCAACCACAGCACGTCCACATCCACAGGAGCCTCTCCCAGTGATGCCCTTGCCCTCCGCCCTACTCCTGTGAAGCGATGCGGAGTCTAAAAGTGGGGAAGCCAGGGGTAAGGGGAATTAGAGAGGGCTCACAGCGAGGGAAGGGGCGCGCGCATGCTGCCACGCGTCAGGGCTTGCACCGGGTCGGGGGAGATACCACTGGGCGGGATTGATTGGAAAGGGGGAACGCCGGACATAGACAAACATATGTTGTATATGTTTTATGTTGTATGTGTGCATGCATGCAGATCAGTCTGACGCGAGTGTATGCGAGTGTTCGCAATTGCCATGTAGTAGTACTCCGACGAACATCGTTACAGGGTGATTGTTGTCAACTGACTGTCCTCATCAGTATCCGTACCAGGACTAGGGCCACGACCAAGAAGTCGCTGCATTTGTCTCCGAGGTCCCAGGCTAAGGTCGGCGAGAAGGTGGAGGGCACGATGATGAGCGAGTCGAAGGCGAGAAAGCCTGGAGAAAGCAGCCTTGCAAGCCAAGCCATATTAGACCAAGGGTTTTTAGGAGTTTTGTCCGGCTTAGGTGTTGTTCTTAATTGAAATCATTGTATTTTTGCTACACACCCCATGACCTGTGGTGTCGAGATGGAGGGTCTCTGCCTTTTGCCGGAATCGCTTGCCCCAGGCCGGCATCTTCTTCGATGCCGGCTACTCCAGGGACTTTCTTGCCCCAAACAACCTGCTCAGCCAGACTCTGAGATGTGGTGGCTAGTGATCATGCTATCATGGACGTCCAGCGTCCTTAAGGCAAGCCGAAGGACGAATACACCCGTGGCGAGGTCAAGCCCCGAGTACAGATTCGCTGCCGGTGAAAGCCAGAAAACAGCTGACAGCCCCGTTGCACGAAAAGAATTGCAAACGTGAAGGACAAGCACAACCAGCATAGCTGTCTCGCCGTTTCTTGTGTGTCGAATGCTGAGGTTGCTGATCTCACTGTAATGCAAGTCGATGGAGACCGCGTCACGGTTTCGGACAAGGAGGTGCACACAGCATGCGCGATGTGGCCTCGGTAGAGGGCCGCAACGTGTCTTGACATGCCCCGCTTGTGCATCTGCCGCCCTTGATCGGGTTTGCAAGATGTTGCAACCGGGAGCAGCACGACCAACGGCAAGCCAGGATGTGGGCAAGCCAATCGCAACCTTCGTTCGCGGTCAAGAGGTTGCTGGAAAGGCCGAGCACCAAAGTGCCGGGGCTAGTACCGCAGCTTGTCGAGTTTGCGTAGCTGGAGAAGCATGTATCCTTCAGTGTTTACCTCCTGCACCTGGGCCGAGTGTGTCAAGACTTGTCTTTTCATTACGCGAGATTTTGTTTGCATCCAAGTCCTGGACTCTCCACAAAACCTCATCTGCTATCTGCTCCTTGTTAGTGCCCAGACCGTTTTTTGGTGACCCACTCGGGGCTCTGCTCTCTGCAGGTCGTCCGCTACATGGATAGCGTGGGCATCTTCATGGACATTGGAGCTTCCCGGGAGCGCTCAAGCTGAGACTCCCTGAGAAATTGAAACGTCAAAACAGGCTTTAAGCGCTCTTCAGGATTTACCGATCATCTGCTACATTTCTGTGTGTGCTTGCATGTGTCTTCGTACTTCTTTTCTGCGCGCATGGCTTGATGGATGCGTGGGTGCGTGCGTGCTCCCTGAATCTGGCAGGATGCGCTTTGGCGCACGAAGGGGCCAGGCGCCACAGTGCTGCCCAAGGATCCTAAGGAGACACTCTGAGTGCTCTTAGTGCTCTTTCCTTCCAGCGCTGAGCTGTTTGACCAGGAGTATGCGGCTGGTGAAGAGGCTTGATCTGTCGACGGACTGCGGGGCCAAGCCTCCCTTTCATCGGTTTGGGGTTTGGGGCGCGCAATCGTGGATTTAGGGTTTAAAGGTAACTAGGGTCCCCGTCGTTTTTTTGTTGCAATTTTCATCGTTGTGAGGGGGGTCAAATTTGGCAGGTGTCCGGCCTGATCATCACCCGCCTGGATGCCGCAGCGCAGACCCTGGAGGCACCGAACCCTTCAGCGAAAGGGCGCAGGGGTCATTTTGAAGCTGTTGGCCGGTGAAGCTGCGAACAGGTTGCGATGCCCGGCGCAGAGATGGTCGAGACAAGCCCGGGGCTCTGTGGAGGTTGGGTCTACATGGCGTTTTCGACCGCTTCTTGAGCTCCGAGGCCTGTCGATGGAGACCTTGAAGGCAAGGGGGGGCCCGGTTTCGGAACAGAGCCTCGAGCGGCATCCGCTTGTGACAGGTCGGCGAGGAAGTCTCAGGCACCGTCACGAAGACCATCGCCTTCGGAGCCCTGTCAGCACTCTTTCTCGCTTAGAATCTGCCTTTCCAGTGTCCGCACAGGTATGTCGCAAGACACATACTCTTTCAGGTGTCTTCGTCGACATCGGTGCCGAGAGGGATGCGCTATATGTGGCCACCTGAGTTTTGGCTGAACACAGTTGCATGCAACAAAAACTGTGAGTTGATGCTAAGGCCATCTCGCAGCTGGAGAAGCCTCTTTCCGAGTACCAGCCCGGAGACAAGCTGGAAGGCAGCTTGCAGCTCCGAGCTCCGAGCTAGCATCCATTTCCTCTCTGATCCAGGCCTGCGTGTGACGGAGGCCCATCGGTCGTCACGGAGCTTGCTCCAATGTCTCAGTTTCCTCAGACGAGGGAGATCTGCAAACTTCGCCAGGTGGACGCTCAACGTCAGCGCCTGGGCGTCTCTGCACGCCCTGTTGCTGGAGAATACGACGTGGGCCAGGAGGTTACTGGCAAGGCACCGCAACGGCGCAGCACAAAGGGGTTTCAAAGATTAGTTTTCGAGTCTTCAGCTGCCGGAGGGTCAGGTGGTGCCAGGAGCGAGTCCGTAAACCTTTAGGGAAGTTCTGCACCTAGGCCTCAAGGATTGCTGGTTTATTGCCGAATGTTACCTGCCGTCTCACCCTCTTGCACATCACGGAGAGGCAGCTTGCATTCGCACGTGCTATTCTGGATGACAGGTCACGAAGATCATGGAGTTCGGCCTCTTCGTCGACATTGGTGCGCCAGCGAGCTCAGATGTGCCACGTTCGTGCAACCTCTGTTGTCATCTGCTGTCGGATGTTTGCGAAGCGTGGGATGTCTTTGCAGGGCCTTGCTGTGGGCAAACGGACCGTGCCGAGGTCCGTGGACGCTCTGGCTCCAACCGCTCTTCTCTCCAAAGACACGGGTGAGCATCTGGCCGAGTCGTTTGCTATCTCAATGCTAAGCTACGTCTGCAGCATTCTACAACTTTCTGCAGCCGAATTCAAGCCTTGCCCTCTGGGCCTCATGCCCCCGACATGAAAGTCTCCTTTTCGCCGAGGTATACAGAGGGTGAGGTCCCATACTCAGTGCACTGCTCAGTTCAACCCACGGCGAAACTACTTCGGGATTGCCCAGGTGCTCGAAGATCTGAAGGTTACCCGAGTGGATATCCCTGGGAACAAGATTGCAGCTGCTCGATGCAAGCAGGAGCATGAAGTCAGCCTGCGCACAGACTGCATGTGCTTTCCATATGCCATATGTGTCACGTAGCTCAGATGTCCCTTTCCCTCCGAAGTTAGTAGGCCACGGCCTCTCTCTTGTCTCCACACCCAGGTTGGGCAGCAAGCAGGTGCTGGTTCTTCGGAAGCAACGACCAGCATTGACAAACTCGAGGCTCACCTGCAGAGTTCGCTGCAAGTGATGCCGCGGCCGTGCCGGCTTCTCACTTTCTGTCGGGAGGTCGGCTCCAAGGTGAGTGGCGCCAGGCCCTCAGACTCTGAAGGGGCACGCTGTCGAAAAAAAGCTTGGACTCGAAATTGCCGTGGCTTGACTCCCTGTCGTTGCATTGAGGTCGTTCGCGGCATTCGGGACTGTGCAATGCTTTGTCTCACGAGGGCTGTGTCCAGTGACGCTGAAGCAAGCAGCCGCAGGAGTATGGTATCTTCGTGGACATCGGCCTGGGGAGAACGGATGCCCTCATGCCAAACTCCATGTTGGGTGATGTTGCACCAGCCTGAGTTGAGCTGGCACGGAAGACGTCCTGAGGCCCAACATGTCTGACCTTAATTGGTAAAACCTATTTTTCCTGTGTCTCGTGTCGTGAGAGCCTTCGGAGAGATGAGCGCTGTGTGCGATGACGCATGCGGCTCAGACCTCGGCAGCCTTCAAGCCCAACCAGAAGATCGAGGTGGCAGAGGGCAGAGTGAGCTCTTGGCTTCAAGCTGCTTCTGCGTGCTTCAGGTCTACATTGCGCAAATCGATGCTGCACAGAACCGCGTTACCGTGAGTGCTTCGGAAGCAAGTCTTTCCACCTGTATCTGTCTAAGGTATATCGGTATATGTATGTGCTGGATTGTGCTTCTAATTATAGATATAGATATACAGACGCACACATAAATGTTTCAAAAGAAACCTTATTTGTACTGTGAATTCAGCTTTTCCTAAGGTGCCGTGGAGCCAACTGCGGAGATGCGGCAACGTCGTGGCAGGTCAAGCCTGGTCTCTCTGTATCTACTCGGCTATACTCGTGACCATTTGGAGGAAAACATGTGTAATTATAACATATATATATATATATATTTAATGGCTGCCGCCAGTGCCGCCGACCCCCAGGGGAGCAGGAACTCGCCGAACCGAGGGTCTATCTCCGCAGAACACTGGAGGAGAGCGCAAGGCAGGAGAGAGAAGAGTTGAGTAGACAGTCAAGTATATGATTTAATGGCTGTTATTACTAAGGAATTACAAGCAATGGTGCTGAGAGGTGGGGGAGAAAGGGGGGGGGAAGGGCGGTGTGAGTGGTGTGGGTACTGTGGGTGGTGTGGATGGTGAAGGTGCGGGAGAAGCCCATGTGAGTGGTGTGGGTGGTGTCAAGGGTGGCGTGAGCGGTGTGGGCGGTGGGGGTGTAAGGAATTACAAGCAATG